GTGAACAACACATATAAGTATAGATGAAGAGCATATGTCCTAAAAGATATTAATTACTTATCTTATAAGGTGGTGAGGGTGGATGAAAATTATATATACTAACTTAGTGTCTCTAACTCTGTCACATCCAATAATATATTGCATTATAAAAATTCAGCACACTGTACCAATAAAAAATACTCATTGACATTTGATTCATTTTAGACGAAATTATATTATTAGGCGGAACAAGGTAAAAGATAAAGATTAATAATGATATATATTAGTGAGGAAAAGTACCCAAAAAATGAATATGTTCACTTTTTCATGGAGAGGAATGAGATACTGTGAGCCACTAAGTTTGAGAGAAGAAAACCACTTTCACTTCAACCTTATTTATTTCATAACCTCCCAACTCCAACTACTTCCCAATTATCCTTTTACATTCTTCCTCTCTTTTCATTTCTTCATTCTCAAAACCCTATAATCATCAATTTCACCCTTTTCATGCAACAAATGTGATCAACCCAACACCAATTCTAGTGCCACACAACACCCCATCAATATTCACCTCATACCCACTTCAATTATGGCCTCATTTTCCACTTCCCACTACTTCATACCCTTAACTTTCCTCATTTTGTTCCTCAAAATCCAAGCTTTTGACCCAGTTTCACTTTTTTTCTTCCCAGATTTTGAAAAAGGTCCAAAATTTGAGTCAAGTTTTGCTCTTTATGGAAATGCAAAGGTTATCAATGGTGGGTCTGAGCTTGTTCTTTCATCTGGGTCTGGTAGTTCATCAGGCAGTGGAAAAATCATGATCAGGAAACAAATCAAGCTTTTTGAGGGTAAAAGAATGGAACTTGTCTCATTTTCTACTAACTTTGGATTTTCAATCTCATTGGATGATATGGATGGTTTAGCTTTTGTTATGGTTCCAAGTGGTTTTGAAGGGAAGGTGTTTGATAATAGTTCTTCTGATTTGAGGGAAAATGGGTTTAAGGTCATTAGTGTTGAGTTTAGTGCTTCAAGGGATGCTAAAAATTTGGGTTCTGCTTATTGTAATGTGAGCATTAATGTTGGAAACTCAGTTATTGCTAAAATAAGCAATAATTTCTCTATCAATGTGGGTCTAAGTAGAGGTCGAAAACTTCATGCTTGGATTGATTATGATGGAGATTTGAATCGCTTAGATGTAAGGTTGAGTCAGAATACTCATTCAAGGCCTATTTATCCATTGCTAAGGCACACAATTAACTTCTCAAATGTGTGGGATGCCAAAGAAATGTTTGTAGGCTTTAGACCTGTGAAGGGTGATTCTTATCAACCATGCTCTATCTTCTCATGGAGCTTTATTGTAGGGCATTTTCCATATTGGATGCATTCCGAGCCTCTGAATCCATTGCCAAAGGTCATTACTGATAAGGATACTGAGACTCCTAAAGTGAAAGCAAGGAGTGATTGTTTGTTAAGAGTTCTAGCTGCAATGATATTTGGTGCTGGATGTGGATCTTTGGCTGCATTTGTAATGCTTTATGTGTGGACCATCTTCAGCAATCGACTTCCGGTGGCGCCGGAGGAGTATGTTATGCAGCCTGTAGAATTTGAGTACAAGAAAGTCAACATTGTTGTAGATAAAGCCACTCAAGATGGTAAGGAGTAGATCTGAAGTAGGGAAACTAGTTGGAACCTTGTGTTGTAAATCAGTGTTTCTTGTATTCAGGTTTTGCTATATTGTAGTGTGAGTAAAGAACTAATGAATTTACTTTTTCTCATGTTATATTTTTTTCTATATGTTGAGCAATTTGAGACCCAGATCCAACTCTGAATTAAAGATTATATATCTATTCTATTTTTTGAAACATTACCAGCTTAAAAGTTATTAATGTGTTGTACTATATAATGATGTTGCTTAGAGAAATTTCATTGTATGGTGATAACATATAAGCCACAATTAGTCTATTGAATATTGATATTTGAGTTAATATTTAGTTTGCTTCTGATTTACATTATGAAGTTATAGTGTGAAGTTTGTCTAAGGAAGATTGGCTTCCATAAATGTTATATCAACCATTTTGTCCTTCATATCACATCTAAGACTTTGATACCTTAAAATAGTTCAATAAATTCTAAAGGAATGTGGTTTCTAATTGAATCTGCTTCTGGTGGCCCTCTCACTGTTTCTATAACTTTTAGTGAGTCAAAATTCTTCCTAGTACAATCAACAATTTTTTAGTACAAATGTTTAGTTGAATGTTTCTGTTTGGCATAATTTGAGCCCTTAACCTTGTCCTAAGCCTTATCCTTAGAGACAAGCTTATGGGTATGAGGATAGGCTTTCAAATTGCTGCATTAATGAATGACAATTTTTTATGCATGTTGTAAATAATGAAGTTTTGTTTTTTAATTACCAATGATATCTCTTATCTTACCTTATTAACCCTTTTTCTAGTGTATAGTTGTCTCTACCAACCAGTGTCATTCCTAAAAGTTGAATATAGTATAATACATAGGGATCTAATGGACCTTATATTACTACACCAATGTAATAATGAAGTTTATTGCTTTGTCACTAAAAATACCTTATATTGAATTGGAACTTATTTGAACCAGTAATTGCATTTATTAAAAAAATTGTTTATCAATAGCTTTTTAAAATTATTGTTGTTTTGTGGGAACTAAGACTACAAAGAATCAAGGGGCATAGAAACTGTTGACAATATTTAGGTGTGAATTTTCCATTGGATGTGAGAAGATAAATGACAGAATTTAGAAGTGAGAAGAACTGCTATGTGTGTAACTATTGGGGAGGATCCATTTACTCCACAAGAATAAGTGAAAAAGACTTACTCTCCATCTTAGCCATTTAATTTTGGCAAATCCAATGGTTTAAATATATTTATCAATTTAAATCATTAGATTTCTAAAAAATGAATGATCATGATGTGGTGTAGGTTTTTTCCACTTAGTATTGGAGTAAGTGGATCCTCCCCATTATTTTAATGGCTGTGAGCTCTCAGTTAGGACTTTCAGTATTGGCACATGGAAATTTGTGTTGGAATATGATATTGTTAATCATCAATTACGTTATTTATGGATATTATGTTAAGATTTTCTTTCTCTTTAATTATTAACATATAAATGTGAGATTCTCCATGAGTAAGAGGGAAGAAAATTGGGTTTTATATATTGTCATTGTATCATTAATCATCTTTGTTTAATCATTATATACTTTTATATATTCTCTTTTTTCTCTCCCACTTCATGTCCTCCGATGCTACATGGTATCTACCTTTTTCTTCTTAATTTGTTAAGGGAAGTATTAGAAACAAAAATATTTGATAATAGTTATCCTATCTTGGAAATGAATAAGATTTATACTCTCATAAAAGTAGAATATATTTTTAATAAAAAACGACGAGTATAAGTAATAAATTAATCTTCTTTGGATTAATGTTATAAAAATTGGTTTGGACTAGCAAGTGCGACTAGTTTAATTGTGAACTAGATATATGACTGATGTAAGCCTCTAATATAATTGATTTTGCATCAAAGTTGAATCAAATGCTTCAATTTAAGTTTAAAATCAGTGATTCGGATGGTCAGATACGTTGGACCGACCCAGTCATTGAAAAATATTTTTTAAAAACAATCAAAATAATGTTAGAAGAAAAAATGAAATATGTTTTACTTATTTGTAATTATGTTTGTCATTTGTTAACTTATGTTGTACCAAAATTTTCGCTGTATAATAAATTTTTAAACATATAGTATGTTTTGTTGTGATTAAAGTATAACACATGTGATATTTTTAACTTATTTATGACATTTTATAGTAGTGAAATCTTCTTTGTTGATTATTTGATTATGTATGTTAATATTATAAATTATTTTACAATTTTTAATGTAAATGAGTGAATTGATCCAACTATTAGCTCATTTGACATATCCAAATTTAATAATAATACAATAACACTGGTGTATGTGATTGCACATACCAACCAGAAACATGATCATAAATTTTGTCATTATAATATTTATTAACTATCAGTGTAAAAATTAATACATACTCAATATATCATCGACTATTAATTTTGCATTATTTTTTTAAAAATTCAATGATAATTAAACATAAACAATGAATAATATATGATAGTGTATAAAACTCATACACAATACATACATTTTTGTCTAAAATTTTAGTTCTTTTATTATTGACATATAAATATCATAGTTCTTATACTTTTAAATGGTCCTAAAATATCACTTTAATATTAATCTGAGGGGAGGGATTCACTTACTCTTCATCTTAGTCATTCAATCTTGAAAAATTCAATGGTTTAGATGTATTCACCAATTCAAACCATTAGATTTCCAAGAATGAATGGTCATGATGTGGAGTAAGTGTTTTTCCACTTACTCTTGGAGTAAGTGTTTTTCCACAAGAGTAAGTGTTTTTCCACTTACTCTTGGAGTAAGTGTTTTTCCACTTACTCTTGGAGTAAGTGTTTTTCCACTTACTCTTGGAGTAAGTGGATCCCTCCCCTTAATCTGATCCGATTATGATTCTCCATTTCTTCTCTCTAACAAAAGCTACTTGGAAAATTTGTACATGAGAAGAGGCGTATGTTACTTATTGTTTGTTAGTAAATTCATGTTCTTGTCTGATTAATTACTTTAACAGACTTTCGCTAAAGGCTTAAGAATAAACTTTTAGAGAAAAACTCATAATTGTGATTAATCAAAACAAAGAAATTAATTGAAAAGTTTAAAGTTTTCACAGATCTAATTTTGTTGTCACATTTTTCACCATAGCATTCCTGTTGCACTAAAGGCAGAGAATTCATTATTCTGAGGGTTTTAGCAAAAGTAATTTGTGAAGGTTTTACAAGATCAAGTAACACTGTCATTTCACATTTAGAAATACATATATCTTTGGCAACCATTAGTATCTTGTTGCCATTATATGGTGCAATTTTATTCATTTTAACCAATATTATCGTCCACCAATATGTCCCTTTGTTACCTATAATCTGGTGCACTTGTTCACAAGGATAAGTGATAACTAAGGTGGCTGATATTGAATAATCTTATACTACTCAGCATTGGGACTAAAGAATTCAAAATTTAAGAGTTTCAAATCACACAGGTGCAAGACATAATGGACCAGTCAAGTGCAGGTTACAGAATCAACAGGCCAGCCAATGCATGAAGAACAGAACCCAAATGGCCAAAAACTCACCATTGATCCGGTCAAGACTATGATCCCACTAAGTTCAACAAGATCCAGGTTTCACAGGAAGACTTCATGCCAAAGACCAAGATATAGGAAAGTCAAGACATCAATCCAGTGAACAACAGATAACATCCTGAGCAGTGTTTTATTTTATGATTAAAAAAATATCTTTGAATTCAATGCAGCCCAATGCAATCTGATAAAGTTCAATGCGACCTAATGCAGTCTAATACAGTTGCGTCAGTGTGATGAAGTTAGGATAGTTACCGCAACCACAACATTGCAGCCGCAATTTAAATCATTTGAAAAGGTCAAAAGTTCAATTCTTAATAACAAAACTTATTGATATAGATAAGCATACAAATAGAAAGGATTAATTCCAAATCCAAAGCAATTTGGGCTCATCAATACATGATCTCACTAATCTCTCTAATATACCCACTATAAACTAACTTAATTGTTACAGCCCATAACAAAATCCCATTTCTGATAGACACCCAAAGCAGTTTAAGGATGGATCTCAAGTTCTCAACACAGTTTATGTTACATACTCTCACAATTCAGTATATCTCAGGCACCCAAAACCAACTTCAGCCTAGTTCAACACCTCAACCATCAGAACAAATCTCTTTAGTCAATTCAATAGGAAGCACCTAGAACAATTATGTAAATTGTAAAACATATCATATAATAACAAACATATAACATGCATATAAATTGATTAATTCAGCGCCAAAAACTACGAACATTATTAATACTGGACAAGCAAGATCTCAGTATATTACGATTATCTTCAGTTCCTTTAAAGGATTTTCAGATAGATAACGCAGTATATAAATAACATCACCGATCCCAAACATAAAATCTACTAAACATGCCAAAAAAAATAGACTTTTATTAAAACCAATAACATTTTAATCACTACAGATTAAAATTACATTACAAAAAGGGGTTTTTGAATTTTTTTTCATTGAAAAAAAAACAATAATGAATATGAAGAAGAAAATAAAGGGATCTCAGTAAATTATAGTTATCTTCAAAATCCCTTGGGAAGTATCAGATAGATAACGCAGTTTAATTATAACATCACAGATCCATAAATCTACCAAATAACTAATAATTAAAAAAAATTGAAAAATAATAATAAAATAACAGATTGAAGAAATAGCATCTCAGAGCAATCATTCCCCATTATTTTCTTCACTGACAATCAAAGTGCAAGGATAACAAAATTGAGATTGTTCATCACTGATGCTTCGAAACAAAAATTTGAGAACTATATGTATAAGAATGAAATTGAGGATCATAGAAATTAGAAACACAACGTGGTAGATTTAACATTTGAAAGTAATCGGCAGAGACGATGGTATTGGAGGAAGCATTGGCAATGGGTTCTTTGAATTTATAGGACTGCGTATAAACCCTAGGGTGCTGTTTGGAGACTCGGATACCGTATTCCATATCTTAAATAAAAATAATTTGATGTTACTTTTATCTTGAATAAAAATAATTTAATGACCGATGAAAATTCAAGATCTTAATTAAGTTACATATTTTGTATTTATAAAAATTAATGTATTTTTTACAATGTTTTAAAAACCGTGCTGTACCGGTCGGTTCTACGGTACATATGTTATACCGCATATGCAATAGAACCGGTCAAAACCGGTCGGTTTGTACATTAATTTTTTTTTTAAATTTCAAATTTTCAATTCTTCACCCATTCTTCAACTTCAATGATTGATATTTGAGTCATTTAATTGTATTTTGCGTTTGTTAAGTGATAATTTTGGATAAATATATGTTTTGTACTTTAGACTTTGATTTTATTAAAGACTTAATGTTGTTTGTTTGTGTGAATTTGAAGTAAATTATGAATATGGATTATAAATATGAATATCTACTTATTTGAAATTTTTTGTTATAGGTTTATATATATATATATATATAAAAAAGCAAGTATGTCCGGTTTAACCGGCATGCGGTTTAATTACTGAACCACTGGTTGAACCACTGTACCACTATACTAGTACCCTAACCGGTTTGATAACCAGTACGGTTTTAATAACATTGATTTTTTATTTATAAAAATTAATATATATGAACTACTGAATTTGAATTTTCTTTTTGAATAAAAACCAGTGTTGTGATAACCGGACCGGACGGTCCGACCGATTTGATCGCTAACCGAACTTGAAAACGACTTCGTTTTGTAGTCTTTATCGAATGAGTAGTTGAACCACTCTGAACCGGAGAAATTCCGGTTTGACCGTGCTAAACCCGGTTAAACTGGAATAACCCGGACAAAAAGACTAGACGGTTCACTTAAAATTTTAAAAAATAGAATATTAATCTAATATTTTGTTTTATTTTGGTCCAAAAAAGATATAGATACGTTACTTCAATATAGTTATATAAAATTATTAATTATATAAAGTTTTACATTTATATATTTATAGATAAAAAATATTAATTATAATTAAAATCATCTGGTCCGATCGAACGACTTAACTGTTTAAACCAGTTAGACAAGCTCTTCCGGCTTAACGTCCGACTCATATTTCACAACATTGATAAAAACTAAAATGCATTTGTTTAAAAATATTGAAAAGAAAAATTAGAGGCATAGATTTGGGAAACTACACAACTTTTATGTTTAAATATGTGGAACAATGATTATTTTGTTCGTAGTATTGTTATGTTGGACATGTTTATTATGAAAATGATAAATATAAAAATATATATATATATATATATATAGTTTTATTCTTACTACAAATAAATATAAGGATATATTAGTAAAATTATATTTTATTTCCCTCGCTTTTAAAAGAATGATTAAATATCTATACACTAACAGTGTATTGTTTTTATATTATCGACATATCATCCATCATTTTATTTGTTAATTTTTTATTGATGGATGATGTAATGTAAACGTAATTTTTTTTACATTAAATTGTATATATATTAAATTCATAAAAATCAAACAAGAGAGAGAAAATAAAAGTCATTTTCCTTTCTCTCCTCTCATCTTTGGTCAAACCAAACAAGGATGAATGTTTTCTACCCTTTCCCCGTTCTGCCCTTCCCTTCATTGAAAAATCATTCAGTAGAACCAAAGATAGTGTAAGGATAGATAAATTACAAATCACAATGCTAAGTTGAAAACTTTTTATCAAACCAAGTGTCAGCAAGAGAAACTGGTGAGTTTGAAAGTTAAATTTTGAAGAGAAATAGAAGGTTTGAGAGCCAAGAAATATACTAATAAAATGGTTTTGATATCTTCGAGTAACTTTTTAAACATGTTTTAATATAGAGAATAAAATATCTCATTGTATTGTGAGATAAGTTATATATAAGATATCCATTAAAATCATGACACATAATATATATATATATTATAAGATATTTAATTTAATGTATAGTTTTAAAATTAGAATCCAATCTAATTGAAAGTAACTCAAACTCTGATTTTTTTAATTGATTATTATATTAGTCTCAAACATTTATGGTTTATAACAATGAAAATTAAATAAGCTAGACATTAGAGGAACACAACCTACTTTTTTCAATCATTTGTCTCTGCATAGAATTTGATATTTTTTTTTCTCCTTTTTATTTAAATATTGATGAGAGTTATTAAATTGTTATTATGTTATTGTTATTATTTACTAAATTGTTTTATAGTGTGTTTATGATTTGGAATTATCTTCTAATTTTTGTGTTAGTGAGTTTGAAGCTAACATAATATCATAAATTGTTAGACATGTATCGTTATATAGGTTACTAGTTGTGAATTATAATATTATATATGTTACCATTATATATTTTACTAATTGTAATAGTGAGTTTGAATTATAATATTATTAAATTATTATGTATGTTACTAACATTTAATTGTATTGTTATATATGTTGCTAATTGTGGATTGTATTATTATATATGTGTTCGTTCATTTTTTTATTCTTAAATTATGACTATTATATATGTTATTAACAAGTAATTATGAGTTTTAGTTTTTTACCTAAATATATGATTCATATTTTATGATAATAATAATACTTATGTTTTTTCATTTATAAACAAATAATGTCTCTTGTAATACATTTTGATATTTCAATTTAAAAAATAATACAAAAAAATTGTGAAACCGAACCAAACCATACAAAAATGGTTCGGATCGGTTCTTGTAGTAAAATTTGTGGTTAATTGAGTTGTACCGAATCATATCTTTGTGTTCGGTTCGGTCATTGAAATGCACCAATTATACACAATTATTAATTATATAAATTTTTGTATTTATATATTTGTAGGTAATTATTAATTATATAAAATAATTTGGTCTTACACAACATGTTAACCATTTAAAGCTAATACAAAACTTCTCTAATTTAATAGTGAGTATCACATTACTTTTAAAGAAAGAGTGTAATATATATGGATGACAAAGAAAACCGAAGCCGTGAGTACCCACCAAAACCCAACCCAAATCTAACAGTGAATGCCAATGTGATTGGGTTCAAGTTTGGGTTTTACCGGAATGCAATTTTCAGGTCCGAGTTTGGTACAGTTGTACCCTACCACAACCTACATCGAACCAGATTAATATATGTAAAATTAAAAATGACACATAAATACATATATAAAACCTATATATTGAAATTTCATATATATAACCTATATATATATATGCATATGTATATATATACAAATACATGTTTCAAGCGAGTTCATATTAGGTTTAGGTTACTTGAAAATTGATGAGTTCAGGGATGATATAGTTATTTTTAACTTCGCTTAATTCATGTTTGAGTTTTGGGTTTCAGGTTCGGGGTTTAATAAGCACCAACACGATCTTAATCTATTATGTTGTCATTGCTAATAATATATATGTACGGTTGATATAAAGTTTTATATATAAACAATACATTATATATCATTTATTTGTATTAATTTTTAAAGAATTAATAATAATTAAAAATGAATAATATTATATATAAAAATTTAGTACAACCACATACATTTTTTTAAAACAATTATCAAATGATGGTGATATACATTTAAAAAAAAAGATACCTAATAATCATTTAAATGTAGGAACTAGGGGTGAGCGTGAGCTGGGTTGGGACGGGTTAAGGCTTATCCTTACCCGGCCCTAAATGTTATTCGGATCATTTTTATGGACCCGGACCCGACCTTAGACCCGAAGCTAACCCGACCATAAATATTCACAAGGCCAGCCTTTAAACCTGGACCCGACCCTAGACCCGATTAAATATAACGTATATTCATTTTAGATAAAATATTCTAAATATTATTTATTATTATGAATATGTAATTTGACATATAAAATAATATATGTGTATATATTTTATTAAACATGTATATATGATGAAAATTAGAGAATCAATGATATTTTTGACAAAAAATGATCATTACTCTGTATATATTTGAACAGAGACACATACAAACATCATGAGAAAGTGAAAATGAGACGGGCCGGGACGGGTCCTGTTTGGTCCTTACCCGACCCTAAATATTGTATGGGTCTAATTTTAAAACCTGAACCCAACTCTCCCGATAAGACCCGACCATTTTCAGGTCCGACCACGATCGGGCCATATCGGGTGAGCGGGTGGTCGTGTCCTACTCACCCCTAGTAGGAACTAGGGGGAGCAGGACCCAACCATACTCACTCATCCGGTATGGCCTGATCATGATCGAGTCTGAATATTGTATGGTCTCATCAGGTCTATGGTCGGGTTTGAGTTCAAAAATTAGTCTTGATCAATATTTAGGGTCGGTTAGAGATCAAACATTACTCGTCCCGACCAGTGTCATGCTCACTCATTCTTGATGTTTGTATGTGTCTCTATTCAATTCAAATGTGTACAAAGTAATGATACATTTGTTGTCAAAACTATCATTGATTCTCTAATATTTTCATCATATATAAATGTTTAATAATATATATACTTATATATATTATTTTATATGTGAAATTATATATTCATAATAATAAATAATATTTAGAATATTTTATCTAAAATGAGTATAAATTATATTTAATTGAGTCTAGGGTCGAATCCGGATTTAAAGATTGACCCTGTGAATATTCAAATTCAAAAAATAATCCGACCAACATTTATGGTCGGTTACCTTAACCCGACTCTTGCTAACCCCTAGTAGGAATGTTAGAACCTAGGGAGGGTTGAATAAAATAAAATAATTAAATAAAATTTATTTAATTGTGATGAATCCCAGCAAAATATGTAAAAATCTTCGCCCCCAATTCAAGTTTTGTTTTGACCTTCTTCCTCTTGAAAGAATCATTGGTTCTCTTCACATTCTCCATTGAAGATGAGTCACTACATTAGCATCGTTGATCACTCTCTCCCTTACGATTCTCACAATCTCTATGACGTCACTTTCCATCATCATTCCATTCACAC